GCTTGAAAATTTTGAATTTGGGCACATGCATGTTATCGAGTACTTTTTATTCGAAAAAAATTCTTGCACTGCACGTTAGTTTTCAAGATGTAATGCTACCAAAATTCACCCTAAGCTCGAAATATCTTGGATTTCATTTTTCAACAAAAGATGGTCGTGTAATTTATTCTTAGTGCGCTGCAAACTAGCCACATTTATACTGCTGCCTCACTAGCAGAAAAAATGCCACTAAGCCTAACTTCTGTGACGCACGCATTCGATGACTTATTTTCAGCGATGCGACTGAAAAGGCATTTCAAGGTTTTTTCTTCTCCAATTCAACGCTTCCTAAAAAAATTCCCGTCACTCAGGAAAGACTTACATATATTTTAATTTCAGAAACTTGAACAGCTTGATACTGAGCTGGGAGATCGCTTCTTTTGGAAATTCTATAAGGTTCACGCAAAAATTTCTCAGGGAGAAAATATCCCTCAGGTTATTTCGACCTGAAGATCTTGGAAATAGAACACACTCGAGTGAGTGGGAAAAGTGGAAATTGTTTGACTCACATTCTAGCTTTTATTTATTTCCATATTTTGTTTTCAAAAGCTGATTTCTTTTGAACTCATTTACCAAAATTGAAATTTGCAAATCGTTTTCTTGGCACCACGAGTAAAGCGAACCAGTGCAATTAAACCAAAATTTTTCATAGCAATGTTATTTACTTCTTTCCACGTGTGTCGGAAATCGTTGTAAGCGATGAGTTTAAGCAATTTAACTTGGAATGTATATAAAACTCTGATATTATAGTTTCAAATCAATGTAAATGCCACATAAATACGTTGATTTTATACAGAAGCCAGTAATTCCTAGGCTATAAGGCCAAATTTAATTGACTTCTTTGCAGGTTTTCCTGGGTCACACCATCGCTTGCAATTTAATTTAATTCGACAGTCTCATCCGTCCAATAAATCCTAATTGTGGTTTCAAGGGCCTTAAATTCTACGGTATTGAAATTCTAGGCTTAGAAAGCAGATGTGCTTGTCAGGTTAGGCGTGATATTGTTCTCACATGACCTCGTGTCAAGGATGCTTCAATTTCATTTGCTACACCTGATAAAATTTATCTGTATAATTTCATGTTTTCGTAGTCTTTTTGTGGCGTAAAAGGCTGAATTGAAACAAACACCGAATGAGAGTGGGCCCAAGTGGCCATTTAGAGTGAATGAGACCGGCCAAATAAGTGATGATCATCAACCTAACACAAATATCGTAAAAAATATATAAAGCCAAACTTTTCATATGAAAAATTTTTAATCCCATCTCATCCATCCACGTCTTTCGATTTCGGGCGTGAGACCGTGTTTTCGTAAACCCATTGTGAATCTTCTTGAATGTAACCTGTGAAAGCTTGCTTGTTTGAACATTTTCTAGGGTTTATTCGTCTTCATTACGAAGCAATGGCGCGTGTATATTATGCCTTGCTGGACAGGCACTCTAATCAAGCAGAAGGTGGGGCCGTGGGTCGCTGCTCGGGGAGACGCCGCGGTGCAAATGCTTTGTTTTCTCTTCAGATTGTGATTGTTGTTTGTGATAACGTGGCTTCGTGATTGCATCGCTCGCCAACTGAGACGATTAACGACATGGTTAGGTGCTGTATTGTTTGTTTTGCAAGGCACGGGAGTTCATTGGAAAATTATATATGAATGACAAGGCGCTATATAGGTGTTATTATGTAACTAATATTTTTTTTTTATTCCTGTGTAACGAAGGAATGGACTTCGGTTTTGTTGACAAAATAACTGATCATGATTTACAAAAAATTCAACTTCTGATAAGCTCATCATTTACATAATCATTATATATTATCTACAATTATTATATTATATAGTCAGATATGATCATTATCAGATACTATGTCTACAACCACAAGCATCTAAGATTGGATGTAAGATGTAAACGAATAGCAAATGCAAATTTTCTAATAATCAATTTAATAATGTTTGATGATTACAATTTCAACGAAATCACACTGCAGGTTGTAATTAGAATCTACAATAATGAATTTAATTAAGAGAACGACGCCTCCGAATTACTAATTGAATGCGGCACATCGTATTGGCCATTAGATTTGCCTCGTAGATTTCTGCGTGATGAAGTGGTTTAGGGACGGTGTGTTTGGCGGAGCTTGACCTTGCTGCGATAAATTTCCTCTGGCTTCCTCGCAGGCTGCAAGTTCATCAAATAAAAGGTTCATTTGATGATGTCGGACATAGAGTGCTTGGCATCTGGACAAGACTACACGCAACCAATCATCGTCACCACGCTCCTGGCTTTTACTGTAAACATTGTTGGTCTCAAGTCTGCTTCCCGCCATGGGAAGTTGCTGTACAACTCTGCAGGGACTTGTTTTGGGACAATCAGGTCGCCATATGCCTCGATGGCCTTGAGCACTGAGATGGCATTGAACCCTCAACGCTGGTCGTCGGCTAGTCAGAAAATACTGGACGACCTCCTGGAGCAACTTCAGAACAATATATCAGCGATAGTGCAGTGTAATGCCTTTAAAGGAAAGGTTAAAAATATTTTATCGCAAATATCAATACAATGTTGAGTTTATTAAAAATAGTTAGAATATATACAGTATTTACACCGTTTGCTGTTTTTTTGAAGAGCGGCGTTATAAAGCTTAAGAAATAACATCAATATGCTTCTCAACAAAATTTCAGTAAGACGAGAACAATGCATTTTTTAGGAACTTAAAATGCGTCGTTGGCCAATAAATCTGGTAATAAAGAGAATAATAAAAAAAACTTTTATTTTCCCTTGGTTCATCTCCAGTAATCTCAGCAACTTCACATGAGAAGGTAGCATGGACTTGCTTCTTCCGTCTGATAAGTTTATCGTTTCCAAAAATAAAAAACCTCTATATCGGCTTTTATTTTCTGTTGAACCATGCGCAGCATTCTGAGCAGCTCACTCGGATTCTGTGGTAGCCAGCCGTCTCTCGTGGAAGGGAAGAAAAGAAGAATTGTCTTTAACTTCGGACTGGGGAGAGGCCGCCATTAGGATCAAGACATAACGCTGACCACCTGTACATTACCTTACGGTTATCAATGTTGAAAAGGATAACAGGGAGGAAAATTTATTCAAACACACAGGCAAATATGTTACACTATCATGTTGATGAGCACGTAGAGGCTGATGGCAATTATAGTGCACACGCAGATTTGTTCACGTCTGTGTGTTTGCAGGGCAGACTGTAACAAGTGTGTTGAAACAAGCCGGATCATTTTAATGTATGGAATGCAATCCATTAAGTATGCCGCCAACTATTGAACAAGAGGATGTTTACTAGGAATCGGCAGGAAAATTTTTGACCACACCTGTTTTGACCTGATAATTGTTATTTGCACGTATTATTTTCAATGCTTGGCCTTTCAGATATAATCAGTTGCGCATCAACCTAATTTGATGTTTAGGGTATTATGGGGCAAAGGGACCACTGTGGGTCATGGGCCCATACCCGGTTTCTCGCTAAGTATGGCGGATATTGGTCCGGGTTCTCTTCCGCCGGTCGACAGTTTCACTGGGATGAAGCGTACGGATTTACGTTTTGCTAAGAGTTTGCGTTAATAAGTTACTCGTGAATAACTGTTTTAGCCCAGATAAATGTTTTTTTGCTGCTAAATAAAACTGTTTTCGATTACTGTATATAAAACTTTTGAAATTACTGGGAATCACATTTTGAAAGTATTATTTATAGGGATAATTTTGAGTTCAAGTTAAGGCTATTAGCTTATAAAATAAAATGTTGACACGATATAAATTGAAATGATACCTAGTGGGGCAACGGGCCCATGCATGTCACGGGGCAAAGCGCTCATAGTGGGCTCAATACCCCTCGCTGAAGTCTTGTGTTATACATCATTAGATTAGTCTCAATGAGCTTTTCAAAACCATGACTAACTTTTTTGAACTACAAATTACACTTCATATTGTATGATTTTTTTTATTTGCCGCCTCAAGGCAGCAGGTTCTAGTTTATAGTTATGCGTATTTATGACCCCGTATCGAGTTATTGGTGCATGCCTTGCCAAAAGTTGATTTCAGCCAACACCAATGAGCCAAAAGTTGATGAGTTTTTATGTTGTTGGCTGAAATCACGATAAAGTACGAATTTCTTACATATCTGGATTATGGGCGAAACTGGAACGAAATTTTTCCTGATCATGTATATATACTATTTCTAGTCAAGGATACATTTTTCATGTCATGGATGAATTTTTTATGGTAAGGATATATTTTTCAAATAGAGGATATATATCTTTATGTCAAAGAAATATTTTTTAAGCTAAGGATATGATTTTTTAGGTTGTCAATAAAGGAATGAATGTTATTTTTATTACATTTTTCTTATTTTGAACTGTAATTTGTTGTCTTAACTTTTTTAACAAAAATATGCAATTGTGGTAAAGGGACCAGAGGATGGGCGCCTTGCCCCAAGCCCATGAGCCCATTGCCCCAGGGGTGGGGAAATGGGCCCATTTTGACACTTTTTACAAAATAGTGTTTCATTAAAAATTGAATATCTCTATAGGCGACTAATTCACATGATACAATCCTCATTAGTTGTAACATTAAGCAAACCAAAAACCACCTCGTATCAATTAAAACTTCATCAAAAATTGCATTTAAATAAACGGGGTGGGCCCGCTGCCCCATGTTACCGTATCGTTCTACTTTCTTGAGGTGAATTAAAAACTTTGACCCACTTAATTCATTATTTTCATTTATTAATTCATTATTTTGCAACAAATTCATTATTTGTTCCCCCCTTTTCACCATCTACTAGGGTTGAGTTATAATTTTCAACTGCATCAATGGTGGGCTTTAACACATAAATTTAAATTAATCTCACGGACTTTTCCAATAAATATCTATTCAATAGTTCCTGCCATTACATTTTTAGTACATTGATGCAATTTCGCATGCATGTAACATGTCCCATGTGTTGCTCAGGTTCCTGACGAACCAGTTCGAGGAATCCTACACACCCACACTGGAGGACTTCCACCGCAAGCTCTACCGCATACGAGGCGACGTGTACCAGCTCGACATCCTAGACCCGTCCGGCAACCATCCTTTCCCCGCCACCCGACGCCTCGCCTTCCTTACTGGTGGGATTAATTTCTAATTTAGATAAAGGCGTGTGAAGTAATAATTCCGGAGGATAAATTTCTCCTCGCCAAGGCCTACAAATAAAGCCAAGATAATTGTAGCGTGAAACCCGCTGTGGATCTTGGATTAAATGGATTTATGTTGGAGGTGCACGACGTGTTCAGGAATGCATTGCATGACGAAATAACGATATTAAATTTATTCAGCTGGGATTTAAGATACCGATTATAGGTCTCACAAACATAGAACATTTTTGTTAGGGCAATATTTTTGGCACAGAGTGTTTCTTAATGCTCATTTCCGATCAAAATTTCTCATCAATACTAAATACAGTAACATGGGTTAGAAAAATTTTCGGCATTTTGAGTGTCACAGGTTTATAAGTTGATAAAACTAGTATATGAGCGAGATTAGTGAAAATTTTCGAAGGATGACAACAAACGACTTATAGTAGCACGCTTTTGCAGTGATAGGTGAGGAGCCTCCTTTTAACAATGCTACCTCAATAATTAAGCTCCTGCAATCCTAACTTTTTCTTTATAAAACGAGGACTTGCAATCGGTTTTCTCGAGGACGCTTCGATTAGGCTTGGAGTGCTGCCAAGTGACCATTTTTATCCTTGTCTTGCTGCCACGCTTCCAGCCGTGATTCTGTTTCGACTTACGTCGGCCACTTCTGTGATTCTTTCACCAGCAGATCTGATGTTTTGAAATTCAAAGGTATATGCCAATATAAAGTGTGTATAACATAAAATAAGTTTGAGTCATAAAATAAGTGTAACTAAATTATGAATCAACAATGTTTTTTTTTTCACTGAAACTTAGTTCTGGAGAAAACTTTGTATTTGAATAGTGGTTTTAAGGAAAATTCAATGCTCGTCCTGTTTTTCTGTCTCGTCTGAAATTTTTGTTGAAAGATACTGCTGAGGAATGATATTAGATATTTTTGAGCACAAATCACGTATGAATTATAGATTTATACACGTGCGATTAGACCAGAGAATGTTCCTGATTGAGATTTTCAGCGAGCCGATCAGTTCTTTCCTCAGGTGGCGTTGGTATCGATTCAGATTTTCCCCAGTCAGGTTCCAGGGAGTAATTTTAATTTAATAAATTATAAACTGCAGAGAGAAAATAATTCGCATAAAATATATTTTACCTTAAGGTTAGCTACAGTCGACTGGGTCCACAGTCTGGACGCCTGCCAGCAGCGACTCACGCAGGGTTCGTGCCGACCGACCTTGTGCGATTTCGTCTCCAACTCCCGAGCAGAGTGATGACGAAGCCTGACGAATTCAGGGTCACTAAAAGTTTTTCGGAGAGGGCAAATTTTGTTAATTTGCTCGGCAAATTTAATCTAAATACAAATGGGTATTGATCCATTGATTTTAAGGATTCAGCAATATTTTCGAGTTTTAGGCCAAGGAACCCTATACTTCAAATTTTTTTTTACGAGTAGCTGTAATTGATATTCATGGTAATTAATTTGTTCGACTAGTAATAAATTTTCTCGGACAGAGCTTGGATAGTAACAATTTAAAAAAAATACAAAATCACCTGTAATAAATTTTTTGAGTGAAGCAGAACTAGTAATGTTATCGAATACTGTCGACTAAATTACAAATTACAATCGTAGATTGGATAAGTAATATAATGTGCACTACTGGCGAAAACTCTCTACGTACAAACCTCACGTGAAAAGACCTACTCTTAGTCATAAGATTCAAAGCGAATAAATCTATTCATAATTAATCGATGTACAATCAACAATAATCGAATAGTGTTCGCAAAAAAAAAAACACAAAATTGAATAACCCACTAACGGTTTTTTCAGAGCTCATCATGGCCATTATGATCATCTTTGTCTATAACGATTACCGTGAGCACTTACGATCGCATTTTAAATTAGGATTACCGTTACGATCGCATTATAAATTAGGATTACCGTTACGATCGCATTAAATATTAGGATTACAGGTACGATCGCGTTATAAATTAGGATTACCGTCACGATCGCGTTATAAATTAGGATTACCGTCACGATCGATTTATAAATTAGGATTACCGTTACGATCGCATTATAAATTAGAATTACCGTTACAATCACATTATAAATTAGGATTACAGTTACGATATCATTATAAATTAGGATTACCGTTACGATCGCATTAAAAATTATTATTACCGTTACGATCGCATTATAAATTACGATTACCGTTACGATCGCATTATAAATTAGGATTACCGTTACGATCGCAGTATAATTTACGATTACCGTTACGATCGCATTAAAAATTTACATTACTGTTACGGCCGCGTTATAAATTAGAATTACCGTTACGATCGCATTATAAATTTGGATTACCATCAGGACTTGCGGTGGCCGTGAAAACGTTTGCGAGCACAGACCTCGGGAACTGTGACCTCGGCCATAATCAATATCGGGTCCGAGGGAAGCGTTGTCCTCATGACGCCCCGGCAGCTCATTCCCCTCTCGTGGTGACGCTGCTTTTTCCTCATTGACACTCAGGCTTGAATTATCGGTGGCTGATCGTCGGCCATTCTAATGTATGCCTATGAGACACGTAAAGAACTCGTTTACGATCAGGCTCAGGATTTTTTTAAAGAAGATGTGCGTAATAAGAAAAAAAGTTATTATTACGATAGCTTGTAAATGAAGCGGCAATGGCAAGATTATGCTTCATTTAGAAATTTGCTTAAAGGAGGGATGCATTTTCAACTTTTTATATCTGCCATTTTAATTAAAATACATACACTTTTGTAATGCATTATAAATTCATGGTCTGAACATAAACATTCAATCAGTGCACTGACGAAAAATAAATAAAATTAATTTGCGCCGCTAAACCCAAAATAATCGCAGCTAATGGATTGCTGGGTTTTAGTATCAGTTCGAGATGTGATCTCATTGGATATTACTAATTAATCATATACGTGTATCTAGGTAATGCATGTGTTCCTTGCAGCCGTCATTGCATAGTCATGACGGCTCCTGAGAACGTCACGGTCCAGTACATCTCCGCTCCTATCGAGCGGCCGTGGCTGGCTGCAATATGCAAGCTCCCTATTCCCTTCAATGAATTTCTTAACTAGAATAATAGACTGGCTTCATCATATTGCTTTCTGATCGAAGCACAATACCGGCTGGCATCTTGTTTCCACTTCTGACATGCCTCGGACAGATGCATGTTACATGCGTCACTGATCAGAGATGCCGAAATAACGTCCAAGGGATATTGCAAATTCATCAGATGAAAAGGAAATTGCATTGTTGATTAATGGTAAACTATCGGCCAATTTCAAGAACCAGACATTGCCTTTCATTGTTCCGTGGCCTCACTCGGCGCAGTTCGGTAATATAAGTACGTATTCGCATAGATTTCATTTAAGAAACCATAGATAATATATGGATGCCATAATTACCAGTATAGATACTACAGATAATATTAAATATTTGCTACTGTTGCGATGCCAAATTTTTCTCTAGGAAAAGAGAGTCAGTTCTGATTTCCATGATACCAAACCTACATGATAACCTCTTTTAAAACCTACAGATAAACGCCCTCAAAAATACAAAATCCCTCCTATCAACAATGTTTCGAATGGACACAAAATCCCTCCTAGTATGAACAATGTTTCGAATTCATGAACTTCCTACTAGATTCAGAGTCTGTTTGGTCTAGGAGTCATTGAGAGCAGCGAGCATAGGCGTAGCTAGTGCCCATGTTAGCTGCTTCCTCGTGCATGAGGCCAGGCAAGATGCAGCATTAGGAAGCTAATGGCATCTTATGACGTCAAGACAAGAGTCTCCATCAGCTGACAGCCAAGGTCGTTCTTTTCTTTCTTTCTTCTTCGTTTCTTGCCGCATCTTCTGTTCAGATTTAGATCAATTCTGACCTTCACTGGAAGCTCTTAAGAGGACGTTGAGGGAATATCAGAAGCCAAAGTCAACCACTGAGGTCGATCAAAATGATTCGTTCACGTATGATTATATATTTAACCGTAGAGGCTGCTCACTTTATACAGTTGGCAGGTTTTATGACCAGCAGGTTAACACGTCGCTGCTTTGGAGGGAGTGCGGTTTATGGCCATTATGGAACTGGCCATCCATGCATCAGCAGCAGATGAGGCATAGTGTGATACTATCCATGATGAAAAACCATTACAGGGTGCCCAAGGGAGGCTTCAAAAGGGCTTGTAAATAAGCTGTTTAAAATAAGCTCTATTTATGTTGATAGTAAAATTTATCATCTGAGGTTGAATTCAAACTACTGAGAAATTAGGAAAAAACCTGTTTTCCTCTGGTTGTACTTGCAAGCTGAGTGACAAGTCTCAATTGGTAGGTGAAATCCACGGGTTATACATAAAGATGTGATGTATGCATATTTGTCATTCATTTTTATTCGCGATCGTCAGAGTTTAGATTCTTGCATATTTATTATCCTTTATGTTTGGATCGTCTTGTTGACAGCTTTGCTTACAATTTGCATCAAATTAAGTAAATCTTGCATGAGCATTGGGTATGACGCAATAACTCGGTGTCAGTTAACTTTTGCTTTATGGAGCGCATTACATTACTATATTCATTTGATTGTGGATTTTTTTTTCAAAATTAAGGATGCCGCACTGCCTAATGATTGATGTAGCGTTCTCTACCTAATCCAAAGATTAAGTTGATGCATTCATCACTAGCTAAACTAATGTAAAAATTTATGCAGTCCGCGTCACCGAATACATTAATTTAGGTGATGCAGTCTACATTGCCTAATTCGATGATTAAGTTGATGATATTTACGCTGCCTAATTCGATGATTAAATTGATGCAATATATGCAAGCAATCTATCTACTTCATCATCTATAGCTTGAGTATTTTTGATCGCTGTTAATTAACTCGTGTCAGTTGAATACAAGCAAAACCTCTTTTCCAGAAAATAGAGATTGAAAACAACTTTTATTGAGTGAAGAATTGCAAGAACGC